TGTCGGCCATGAGGTCCAAGCCCTTAAGAAGCGGCACCTCCGTCTCCTGCGCGCTCTCCCCAGCCCGCCGCGGCGACCCATCCGCCAGCCGTATATTTCTTCTTCCTCTGTTGCTGCTCTCGAGAAGGTCAGGCAGGTTCGGGAACAACTTCCCGCTTTGCGAGCCAATGTCGAGTGGCAACAGCGGCGTTTTCTTCTGCAGGTCTGGCGCCACTGCTGTGCGCGCCCCGATGCCAGCACCGCTCGACCCGACCCTACGGGCCTCCAGCACGCTAGGCTCCTGCTCCAAGCCTGCAACTTGCATGTGCGTGGCCTGCAGCAAAAGGCACACTATCTCGCCCGTGCTGACGAACAAGCCCACTTTCGCTCCCTCACCCTTGCAGCAGCTCGGCATTCCCTGAGCATCCCATATTGATTACAATCAATCAATTTCGCAAACAGATATTGATTTTTCGCGCAGCGTCAAAAATCAATATACCGAAAACACTGCATATTGATTAGCATATTGATTATCATATTGATTAGCATATTGATTAGCATATTGATTAGCATAATGATTAGCATATTGATTAGCATATTGATTAGCATACTGACTAACATATTGCTATATATGTTGTTTTGCAAACTAATTTATATAGCTAATATGCATAAAAATACATATGAGTATATATGAAAATATGTATATATGTGTGTGTAAGGCCTTGGGTATAGAAGACTGTAATGTAGAGGTGTGGGGTATAAAGGTGCAGGGGTAAGGGGCTTTGAGGGGGTTAGAGGCAGAAGGATTTAGGGCTATAGTGGAGGTTCACAAACATCGGGGTTTAGGGCTAGGGGGTTTAGGGGTAAGGGGCTATAGGGTATGGGATCGTAGGACTTTCGTGGGCAGATGGCTTTAGAAAGTCTAGCAGAAAGCGAGGTAGAATGAGAGAAAGAGAGAACAAACGAAACGGAAGGATAGGGAACGAAGAGAGAAGAGAGAAGCGACTAAAGAAAGAGATACAGACAGAGAGGCAGAGAGAGATAGATAGAGAGACAGATCAAGAACAACATAGAGAAGGCGAGGATAAAGTGGCAGGAAAGAGAAACCTAGGACAAACCAAAGAAATAGAAAAAAAGAGAGAGAGCGAGAGAAGGAGAGGAGCGAAACAGAGACAAAAGGGAGAGAACGAGAGAAGGACACAAGGAGAGAAAGAACAAGAGAGATAACGAGAGAGAGAGAGAGAGAGAAAGAGAGAGAGAGAGAGAGTTATAACAAATAAGTTCCAAAATCACAAATCGCAAGTTGTGTAAGAACTCAGATCCCAAAATCACAGATCGCAAGGGGTGTCCCCCTAAGGTCTTGTGAAAACTCAGATCAGAAAACCACAGAGCGCAAGGGGTGTCCCCCTAATCCCTGCGAGCCGCGACCGAGCAGAAAGCCTGTAAAACAACGGCCAGGGATCCCACACATCTGCGGGCAAAATCTGGCGGAAGTGATCCGCCACCGAGCAAAAAGCCTGTAAATACCGCATTAAACAAAGGGCCAGGGATTTCACACATCTGTTGGCAAAATCTGGCGGAAGTGAGCAGTCGGTACTTCCGCCAGATTTTGCCAACAGATGTGCGAAATCCCTGGCCCTTTGTTTAATGCGGTATTTACAGGCTTTTTGCTAGGTGGCGGATCACTTCCGCCAGATGTTGCCCGCAGATGTGTGGGATCCCTGGCCGTTGAAGTGGTGAGTGAGAGGGTGGTGGGAGGGTGTTTGGGAGGTAGGGTGGGCAGGAGGTGGAGGGAGTGCGAAGTGGGAGGAAGGGTGGGTGGGGGTGGGTTGGGACGCTGGGTGGATGGGTGGTGGGTGGTGGGTGGTGGGTGGTGGGTGGTGGGTGGTGGTGGGTGGTGGGTGGTGGGTGGTGGGTGGTGGGTGGTGGGTGGTGGGTGGTGGGTGGTGGGTGGTGGGTGGTGGGTGGTGGGTGGTGGGTGGTGGGTGGTGGGTGGTGGGTGGTGGGTGGTGGGTGGGGGGTGGTGGGTGGTGGGTGGTGGGTGGTGGGTGGTGGGGGGTGGGGGGTGGTGGGTGGTGGGTGGTGGTGGGTGGCGGGTGGCGGGTGGAGGGTGGTGGGTGGTGGGTGGTGGGTGGTGGGTGGTGGGTGGTGGTGGTGTTGGTGGTGGTGGTGGGTTTGTTGGTGGTGGTCGTGGTGGTTTTGGTGGTGGTGGTGGTGGGGTGGTTGTGGTGGGTTTGGTGGTGGTGCTGGTGCTGGTGGTGGTGGTAGTGGTCGTGGCGGTGGTAACCCTTCAACCCCACCGGGTTTAAAAGCTTTTCACAATGCTGGTGGTGGTGGTGGTGGATTGAGGGGTGGAGGTTGGATGGAATAGGTTTGGAATGTGCTGGGTGGGGGGGGGGGGTTAAAGGTTGATGGAGCGGTGGGTGAACACGGTGAGCTGTGGGTTTGGGCTGGGCACTTCAAGGTGTTTGGGTTTGGGTGCCTTCCTGGGCCCCCTGGCCTCCCCCGGCCCCCCTCCTAC